GCCATCCTCGCGCCGATTGCCTCGTCGCCTACGCTCACTGCTGGTCGCTGCCCTCATCGCCGGTGGTCACCCTTGCAGCACTTGCCCTTGCCGATTCCAGCAGGGGACTGTCGCCGTCATAGTAAAAACACCGCGGCCTTGCAGCACGCCCGATGTCTCTGTCATGGCAGCATCTAGTCGTCGCTGTCGTAGCACGTCCGCCGCAACACCAATGTGTCGTCGGCCGCAGCACTCAGCGTCGCCACTTGCATCATCGGCCGGTTGAAGCTTTTTTTCACACCGGTTGAAGTTTTTTTTACACGCCGATTGAAGCTTTTTCCACATGTTGAAGCTTTTTGCCGATGCCGGTTGAAGCTTTTTCCACCGTTGCTTGAAGCTTTTCCACCGCCGGTTGAGGCTTTTTCCATGGTTGAAGCTTTCTTCCACAAGTTGAAACTTTTCTCTCATGTGGGTTGAAGCTTTTCCAATCAACAGTTAAAACTTTTCCTGCAAACCGTGGTATCGTAAGTTTCGTTTCCGGTTGTCATACCGCAGACGGTGGGAAAGAAGATCCGGTAAACACATACGAGATAATTAAACTAGCAGTTCACGCCACATTACATCACCGGAGTTCATATGAAAGACAGAGTTCATACTATAGCTTAACATAATAAAAAAACTAAATCTATGCATCATCATCATCACTGGGCTTCTTAACTTGGAGGTGGCACTTCATCAGAGAGTTGGAGAGGACCAAGCTAGCAGTGGAGTTGCCAACATGCTCAAAGTGCTTGCAACGTTGAGTAGAAAGAAGCATGCCCAGGAAATTAATGCGTGCTTAGGGAGGCCCTTTGCTCAAAGAGCAAGTACTCTTTCGGTTATACTATAAGGCCTCCTTTGGTTCATAGGGTAGGAAAATCATAGGAATAGGAAAGTCATAGGAAATGAGATGACATGTATCTCAAATCCTATGAGTAAGAATAGAAAAGGAGATGCCCTTTGATTCACATCATATGATTTTTTTCATTGAGTCCAGGCGAATTCAACATGACAATGTGTACCCAAAACCCGCGAACCCGGCGGGTAAAAACCCTATTAAGGTAACGGTTTGGGACAAATAAATACCCATGGGTTTATAATGGAAAAAAATTGTATCCATCAGGTAAACCGGGTATGGGTATGGAAATGCAATACCCATACCCGCGCACCCGCGTACCCGCATACCCATATATTAGTTTCTTCTAACAGTAGGCTCCATGTGTCATTCACTAAAGAACTTAGTAATTGTATCCTAGACTAACACAACCACTAACCTCGACCCAAAATCCTCTCCCTGACGCATGTGCATGATCTTGTTTAAATGCATTGATCTTGTTTTCTGAACTGCCAGTTTTGTTAATCTTATTATATAGTCTCCTTCGGTTGATTAGTTTGAAATAGGGGATGCAGAAGTACCTTCAATAAAAGAAAATTGTGTCCGTCTTATTTGTCTTGTAATTGAAAAAAAAGAATAGGTGAGAATGTTTCTCTAAAAGTTCACGTACAGGCTACTCATTTAGAGACATTAAAACTGCACATTTTTCCAGCCCTCTCAGGCCATCAACGTCCCTTGTTGTCCGATCGTCCAATTAAGCATTTTCGGTCATCGGATTAGGTGTGAATCGTGCCTAATCTCATTTCGTTCGCTAATATCGATCCCACACCGTACTGGGCCGCTGCTCCGATTAGGTGTGAAGCATGATTTTACCGCGTGTATATGAGATTTCCTCATACTACAGACTAATTTATGGTTATGTTTATGCAAATTTAATATGTTTCATGTGATAATATATTTACGAAAATTCCTATCATTTAGTTGTACAAATAGATAGGCGCCATCAGTGATCTAGTCCATGTATATAATTGGACATTGTTTAGTGTGATATATTTCATGATTATTGCTATCCATTTCTGAAAATTAATATCATTCTTTTTATTTCATCGCGCAACAAATCATCATCTATATGTGCTCAAATGCTAAAATGTGGTATATATGTACTGAAATGTTGAAGACTACATGCTGAAAATGTTGCGTATATATGTGTAAATGTTGAAAAAATACATGATGAAGTGTGAATTGGGTAAGGTCATCGAGATGGGTATTTTTTACCCGTGGGTATTACCCGCACTCGACCGGGTACGGGTATGGGAACAGTTTGAAACCTGAGGTGCGGGTATGGGCGAAAAATAATGAGACGGGTACGGGTTTGGGCAACCATTACCCGCACCCGAACTCGGCGGGTGCCATGTTAAAGGCTAATGTTTATTTTTCTATTATGAAGGATAGGAAGAATTTCTCCATAGAAATAAGATTCCATTCTACAAACTAAAGGGCTATAAAGGAATTTTTTCTATAGAAATCATATCCTATGAAATTCCTACAAGATTCTCCTAAACCAAAGAAGGCGTTGGGCTTCTCGCGTGGAGTACAAATGATGGACAACAGATGCTTGCCAAGTGCTGTCTCCTTCACCCACCATGTCGTATGTTGTGCAACTAGGAGAAGGAGTTGATGGACCATCTAGCCACCGCGCCGTTTGATAGTGGGTCCTTTCCTGGATTCAACCGACCGTTCATCACCCCTGAAGCTCGGGTCATGGACCGACGACATGAGGCTAGCTACCCACTTCGCACCCACCGTTGGATGTAAGAGGGCATGTCCACGGTGATCATGCCGAGGGGTGGTTTTAGCACAGGTGAAATTTGAAGATTCTTCTCAAAACGGCTAGGAAGGTATATGTGGGTGCAATATGTATTTTGTGTACGTGATTTGGTTTCACCTATATTATTTTTGATGCAGAACCTCTTTTAATAGTACAGATTTCTTACAGTCAAAGAAATAAAAAGCGTCAGCAATGTTGTCTTCGATCTTTTCTTCCCATCTTGTGTCATATAAATATGCTTGTATAGCTCAAGCACACAGTTAGTCCATAAATTACGTTGCCATCAATACCAAAACACTTAAGGCGCAAAATGGCCTTTCAGCGTCCTCATCGGCTGGAGGTCGATGCCTATCAACTATCATGGTGATGGGACTTGGACTTATTAGTACGTCGGGAAGCCGTACTACCCAGATTACTGGAAGTTGCGATATTACTCTTGGATTTTAGCGCATGCATGCGGATTTCCCACCACTTCCTGTCTAAAAGCCCGTGAGGTATAACTCTGCCGAGCTCCCGGGCAGCCGCATGCAAATTCTTTGCCCGTGTGCAGCGAGAAGTCGTATTAGGCTCTGCAGTCCTCTCGATGTCCTGCTTCGCCCATGTGCCTCCAAGGCGAGCTCATTCCTTGCTGCCATCAGCATGAATGTACTCTTCAGATTCTCCTTTTGTCTAATGATTTCATTCTTCACTTGATACTTTTTAAGATCTCTATGAAACTAACATGCGATTGGTAACTATGTTTGATTCTAGGTTGCCATATTCTACATACATAGTACTCCCTCCGTAAACTAATATAAGAGTGTTTAGATCACTACTTTAGTTATCTAAACACTCTTATATTTCTTTACAAAGGGAGTACAATAAAGAGAAAATGAATTATTATTTGAAGAGTCCGTACATTGTTCATTTTGTTAAACATTGTTAATTGCCCGTAGCAGCACATGGATATTATGCTAGTTTTAGTGTTAAAACTTGTATAGTTGAAACATTTTTAAAATCTAAAGGTACAATGTCAGTTGCTTCAGATCTATCAAAGGGTCCAACGCCGATGAATATGGCCCGCGAGCACTGGTCCTTAGGGGCATATGCACGAAGACTTCCCATCTTTCATCAATATGGTCAAGCCGGCTCCGACGAGGCAACGACGACATTGACGCGTCGACTGCTCGTTCTACTAGCAGTGGTGGTTGTCCGTTGGTCTAGAGATCTGGATGCAATTTTTTATTATGTTTAAGGTGCCTTTTTTACTTCTGATGAATTTTATAATATATCTAAATCTTTTTCGCAATAAAATAAATTATATCGTAGGTGTGCAATTGAGGGTACTCAACTTAAACAGTGAACCATTGATACAAGCTGCAGAGGTACCTTTGTATAGGACAATTAATGTGGGGCAGAGGTAGTAGAAATTTTTTCTATACAATTATAGCCAAACAGATTTCTCCCCTCAATTTTATCACAAAATATAAAAGGACAGACTTGAACCTAGGGATAGTTCTATATTTTTTATTTTAGGGGTCTATCTGCAAAGTTTTCAGGATATTCGTGCTTTTTCTGGTCAATCTTTTAGCTTCCATCGTGTGTTTGGCTATGTAGCTTTATTTTCTATCAGTGAAATGAATTACGTGGTTGCTCTAAATAAACGTACTTGAGGCGGAACTAAGTGCCTGTATGGAAGGCATGTCCCTTGCACTGGAGTGGAGTCGGCAGGATGCCCTTGTTGAAACAAATTCCATGAAGGTCGTTAAGATGATTAATAATCCATCTCGAGATAGCTCACAGCTGGGTCATCTAGTTGAGCACGTGAAGCATCTCATGAAGCAAGTGAGGCGTTTCGTTGTCAACAAAATCTCCCAGGAAATGAACCAAGCGAGCGATCTACTTGCTCGTTTTGGTCGTCTAGAGGAACGAACGGTAGTTTGGTTAGGATCAGTGCCTGATAAAATATTAGACCTCATCCTACGAGATTGTAATGTGACTATTATTCAAACAATACAATCCCTTTACCCCGCAAAAAAATAAAAAAAAATAAACGCACTTTGACAAAGTCCAAACTCCTTTTGCTCATATTTTTTCCAAGCAACTCTTCAAAACAAGTAGTATACGATAGGATTTCCCTAAAAAGAAGTAGACGGTAGGATTCCTGAAAAAGAGAAAAGGCCGAGGACCAGCAGGCGAAAAACCCCCTAAGACCTCCCTCAGAAAAAAAAAAACACTACGACCCAACCCCGTCCCTGTGCAGTCGAGCCGTCCAGATCGCTGCCGCGCCAGACTCTCCGCCCCCAAATCTCGCCCGGAGAAAAGAGAGATTTCGCGGCGATGGCGGCGGCCGGCGGCACCTCCTCCGACGATGTCCCCGTCATCCAGGCGGAGAACCTCACCAGCAACGTCAGGTCCATCCTCTACAGGTACGCGCCCCTCTCTTCCGCGCACCCCCCTTCTCTTCCCGTTGGGTTCGGCGGTGAACTCGATCTGATCTGGACTCTGGAGGTGTGCTCAGTTTAGGATTTTTTTAGCTTGTTCAGGTTTGATCCGAGCGTATCTCGTGGATCATTAGCGTAATTGCTGGCCGCTGGATGTTCTAGTACAAGTATTCGAGGGAAGGGACGAGGGGAGTTGATTTTTTTTTTTCGTTTTTGAGCAAGGGGACGACGACTTTGGAATTAGTGGTTCTCCTGGAACTATGATGCGCTAACAACTTTACACAGTGAATTGGAACCTTTGGTAGCTGGGTGGTGGGCTGATTTAAAAGGATTTGCTTAGATTTTCCTGCTAGGTTGAGATGCACTGTACCCGGAACAGCCTTAAAATTGGTGAACAGCAAAGCTAAACTGGTGAAGTGATTTGATCTGGTGGGCATGCCTCTTAGATGGTAGATCCACTAGGTGTATCTAGTTTTCAAGTGGTATAGAAGTGATGCTCTTGTTGGCTCTCTGTGCTTGAGACTCGTATGGAAAGCTGTTTATAGACAGTCTAATTACAGTTCAATAACTATTTTAACTTGTTTGGTTGGTGGTGGACATACATAATACTGTAGTTACAGGCTTCAAGCACTGATTGTTTTCTGTGTGATGTACACTATCCAGTTTCCTGTTTCCATTTTGGTGATAACACCTTTTCGACTATAAGGAATTACCCTAGACGTTATCTGCTATTTAACCAAACATGGTTTGTCCTGAACATGATGATTTGTTCGTTTTACAGTCGGACATTCTTGTCGATCATCAGTGGAGTTGTTGCTGGTATCTGGGGGTTCACGGGTCTGACGGGCTTCGTCTTCTACTTTCTGATAATGATGGTAGCATCTATTGGGCTCTTGGCAAAGTCAAAGTTCTCAGTCCACACGTACTTTGATAGTTGGAGCAGGATTTTAGTCGAAGGGGTTTTGGCCGGCCTTATGGTAAGCATTGTTGCCATCATGAGTATTCTGTGGTTTACACCCTAACTGCATAAACATTTTGACCCTTGGATGCTATTTTATATACTGTTGAAATATGTCATGTACAAACACTATTACCCGTCTTTGGTTTTAGTCTAAATTAATCTAGGAAGCTATTGAATATTGAGTTGGATCCAGATGAGTTCTTATTTGGTACGGCTGTAAAAACCTGAAGTTAGGACTAGGAGTTATACAAGTATGTACAAGTCTAATTTGACACTATGTTGAAAGATTAATTGTAGCTTTAGATAATGCAGTAGGGCCACAATCATGAATAATAGTGAAACTTGGGAGGAATATTATCTATAGTATCTATGTTATAATGGCCACTCATGTCCGTCGATAGATGTTTCAAAATGATCCAAACACAACTGTTCATTCTACTCAATTGCCATTTGTATTCTTTATGTTCTCGTTTTCAAGTTTATCTTATAATATTTGCTCACTACAATGAGCTTTTGCTTTGCGTGATGTTCTAACATCGTGAATTTTTCATTTGCAGTCCTTCGTGCTGTTCTGGACGTATCCTTGATAAATTAATATGTGCTATTCTTTTTGAATATATCAAGCCCTTTTACTGCTTTTGTGTACCCACCCCCATCCTATTTTAACCGTTCCTCTGTTGATATATTTTTGCTTGAGTTCATCCTTGACATCTACCAGATTTGCGTACGATATCGTCCACATTTTCTGAGTTCTGATGGAAGGAGAGTCTGATGAACGCAACATGCTGCATCTTGTGATGGAAGGAGCTAATGTCAGATGAACCAAGCATATGCAAGATTTCCCCTTAACATGATGGAACAATGGAGTCTCATCGTTATCCGTTTTTGTTGTTAGTTACTACTATTACTGTCTAGTTTGGTGAACTGCAACATTGTATATGCCTATTTGATGGCCAGTGTATCAGATATCACGGTGTAAACACCACACTTAAATTCATTTACCCATGTCGTAGCTCGCCTGATGATCCAAAACAATTACATCACATCATTTCCTGCGTTCATGCTGTTGAATCACTTGCGATGAAAATGCTATTAATCTTATAGGCAATGGCTTCTAAATGTGTCCTCATTTGTTGTATATAATTCGGTTCACTTGCTTCTTAAAAACAACATATAATCTGTCTTGTGTTTTTGATCCTTTTTTGTCAAAATCTTGTGTTTTTTAGCTGATTTTGATTGATTTATTTTCAATTTTTTGAGATTATATACTACTGCTGCTTTATTTTTTGAGAGAGAAGCATGACCTCATGTAACATAATGGGCTCATTGGGCTGGGTTTACTTCATGGGCCTAAGTCCAGATCCAAAGTCACAGGCCATGGTTTCATTTCCAAAACCCAATTCCCACAGAGCATCGCTCCCACTGGACCCAGAACCCTAACCTCCCTCTCCACCATGGCCTCCTCCCTCCTCCGCTCCGGCCAGCGCCTCCTCCGCCACCACCGCGGCCGCCTCCCCGCGGCCTTCTCCACGGCGGCCGCCGAGGAGCTCATCGACGTGCGCAAGCTGCCCACCGACTACGACCCCTCCACCTTCGACCCGACCGCGCCGCCGTCCCGCCCGCCGCCCTCCGACCGCGTCTGGCGCCTGGTCGACGACGTCTCCGCCCTCACCCTCGCAGAGGCCGCCGAGCTCTCCGCCCTCCTGCTCCGCCGCCTCGACATCCCCTCCGCGCCGCCCATCGCCATCCTCAACTCCGCCGCGGGCCTCGGCGGCGGCGGCGCGGCGGCCGCCGGCGCGGCCGGCGACAAGCCGGCGGCCGCGGCCGAGAAGACGGTCTTCGAGCTGCGGCTCGACTCGTTCGACGCGGCGAGCAAGATCAAGGTGATCAAGGAGATCCGGACGTTCACGGACCTCGGGCTCAAGGAGGCCAAGGAGCTGGTGGAGAAGGCCCCTGCCGTGATCAAGGGAGGGTTGTCCAAGGAGGAGGCCGAGAAGATCGTTGAGCGGATGAAGGCCCTCGGCGCCAAGGTCGTCATGGACTGATCGGCCCCTGCATTTCGAGGTGAGATGAGATCTCTCTCGCGGAATTGGGAACTCAGATTAGCTTGAGCCGGCACATTGATGACTTGCTGTAGTGAAATTGTCGAGAAACTGATGGCCCTTTCACCTATATGGTTGTTGCTACCTAGGATGTTGCCCATCACATTTCATTATGATGCAATGCCTTGCTGTCTAATCCAGTAATGTACCCACAATCGCATTTCATTATGATGCAATGTGTGCCATTTGATTGCATTATTTCGCTGTGATCCTAGTAAGCAATGTGTGACATTTGATTGCATTGTTTCGCTGTGATCCTAATAACCCTTGCTGTTTAATCGCAACTGCACATTTCTGGATTTACAACTGTCCATTTGTCAGCAAGTCGAGTTATCGATTTCAGATGTATATGCAAATGTCTACTTTCTGCTGTGTTCCGTATGGATAAAATAAAGGCCGCTCTACCTTGAATGGAACTGAATCCTTGTGTGTTGGTGTATATTAATTTTCTTATTCGCACATATATCACAAATGCTGCGTTCCACTATTCCATAGAAAGAAGGAAGTAATTGTGCATTATGTATGCAAATTTAATTCTGCTCCTCATATCTGCAGGCACTGCTGAATGTATGAACCATATGACCACCATGGTTGATTGCTGCGAGCATTGTGGGACTGTCAGTGCCAATTGAATCTTTTCAGGCTCAAAGGTCACAATGCTGGATTCTCTTAGTTGCCTTCACTCTTATTTTGTTGATGAATTTTCTGTCCCTAACACGAAATGTGGAATAAAATATTTTGAAAAATCAGATAAGAAACATGTGCTGACATGCATTTGGTTTCTTGTTAGAAGTACTATGGTGCACTGCCCTTCCTTGGCTCTGTGATCTGCTTGTGTTGTGGCAAAAGATTCAATTTTGGTGTAATGTGGTGGCCAGTTAACCAACTACAGATTTGTACACTGGATTATTATGCAGTTATAAAACATGGTCAACCAATTGTTACCATACATTTGAGTTTGTGATATCATGCTCCTGGCTTCCAACCAAACTGCAACTGTGGCCACTATGAGCACCACTAGTCTCCAGCAAATTCTTCTCTTTATGTATACATTGACATCTCTCGGAGCAAAAAGGAGAAAAAGAGTCCCCTCCGCAATGCCAAGGATGCTTTTGTTGTTCCTTTTGGTGTTTCATGTGGAGTAGCTAGCCTGAGATAGGGGTTCAAAGCAGCCTGACATTAATATGCAGGGTTCAAAACAGTCTGAGAGGCAGAAAACGTGGGTTCAACAGAACAAGAGCTGCCTCCCAGATTGTTCAGGATGCTAGCTACTTCGACATGAAACAACAAAAGGATGAAGACGTACTAATCTGCTGCTGCTGTAATTATCACTGTAATTACCCTTACACGGACTACGTGGACATGTCTGCCTGCATCCCTACAGGTGGTTCAACTATCACTGTCTCCGCTATCCGCTTAACCTCTCACTCGTGTAGGAAGCAATCATCAATGCTGAACTGGGCGATGAGTTGTTCTTCTGCTGATTGGTTCAACGCCTGCAGGTCAATCCGAGAGAGTGTTATTTTAAATAAACAAACCATCCATGAAAAAAAGGAGGGAGCACCTAAGAAATAATTTAGAGGCCAACAACCTGCTGGTGTAGGGGCCCTGTTGGAGATGCTCTAAGAAAACAAATGACTAATCCTTCCATGCAAAGCCATATTATATGCTGGCGTAGTGCTACTAGTAGCTGTTGCCTCCTCTGTTAATGATGTAACCAATTCATTAGCCATAAAATAGACACAACCTGCCTCGCCCGTTGACCTCCTAACCACGCTCCTCAGCCTTACTTGGTAGTCCCATCGACATCTCTGATCTCGTTTCTTGGTGTTGTATCTTTGGCGACTCCATTCTTCAATGCGGCTGAACAAGAAGTGGTTGTTGATTTCTATCAAGGTTTGTTCTTTTTTCCCCTTCTCTCCCTTGGGTTGAGCTTTTGAATTGGAATTTGTGCTTTTCTGGTCTGATTGAGTACTTGATCTATTGTTGTTGTTCCAGACTTGTGATCGAGCCAGCTTGCATTTGGTTGCAGAAATATTATTTACCTGCAGATCGACCGAGCTGCTACAGCTCTTGTTTACCTAGCATCGCAGCAGGTAAATCTTTTGAGCTAGTTTGGATTCTCCAGTTCAATGGCATGTTCAACAATGGTAAAATAGACACTGCTAACCTACGGTAGCTCCTAACCACACTACTCAGCCTTACTTGGTCATCCCCTGTCCATCTGGACCAACTAGTCTTAATCTCTTTTCTTGGTGTGGTATTCCAGCGACTCCATTCTTCATTGCGGTTGAACAAGAAGTGGCTGTTGATTTCTGTCAAGGTTTGCCTTTTTCTCTTCTCTCCCCTGGGTTAAGCTTTTGAATTGGAAGTTTGTGTTTTTTTGGTCCGAGTGAGTTCTTGATCTATTGTTGTTGTTCCAGGCTTGAGATCTAACCAGCTTGGTTGCGGAAATCTTGGGTGCATTGTTGGTCGGGGAACTTGATCTGTGGTGCGCGCTCTCTTCTCCTGCGGTTCGGGCACACTTCTTATTTACCTCGCATCGCAGCAGATAAATCTTTTGAGCTAGTTTGGTTGTTTTAGAGTACGATGGTATGGTTCACCAATAGTAAGAACTTCAATTTTCACCTCTCTTAGCGATGGGCTAGCCGGCTGTGGGCATCCAGGAGCTGGTGGCCTGTCGAGCGGGTGTGCCCGAACTGATTCACCTGCTCATCCTTGGGAAACAGAGTTGACTTTTGAAAGATGTAAACGCTACCACATAGATGGAACAGATCCAGATGTTTCAAGTCTGAATGAATGTGCAGCACAAACCAAAGGTAATGCCTTACGTACTTACACGGAATCAAGTTATGGTTGATGTGCTTTGGCATTTTCATACTAAGAAATGCCAACGAAAATTAACATGGCAGATCGAGCGACTGTGATGGAGGCCGTGGTGAGCGCCTCCCACGGCGCCGTGCAGATCCTGTTGAGGAAGCTCGGCAACATCCTCGCCACCAAATACACGCTTCTCCGCGGCATTCGTGGGGAGATCCAGGAGCTCAAGGATGTGCTCGAGAGCATGACTGCGTGCCTCCGCGACCTCGCAGACGATGATGATCACAACGAACAAGTACTGCAAATGCTAGTTGATGGATCTTTTTAGTTGAACTCTTTGATAGCAAGGAAAACATGTCTCTTGTAATGAGACGAGACAAACACTGGCATGATTAACTGATGTGCTCATTCATATACGTGCAGACTAGGACTTGGATGAAACAAGTGAGGGAGGCCGCGTTTGATGTGGAGGACTGTATGGACAGGTTCTGCCATCACCTCAGCGAGAATCATGGAGACCGTCAAGGACTCCTGGAATACCTCCATAGGATGTTCAACATGGTGCGAACATTGAGGGTGCGGCACAAGATGGCTACCGATATCCAGGGCCTCAAATCTCGTGCCCAGAAAGTGAGTGATCGGAGGCTCAGGTACACATACACTCTAGGTGACTCTGCTGGACGGTCGGGCAGAGCGCTTGATACTTACAGCCACCTCGACAACCTGGACCGCTGGCTGCCTGCAATCCATGATGACGGGTCTGGGCTAGTCGGTAGGACTGGACACGAGCCGAGCCGAGCCGAGCTTGATCCGAGCCTGGCTTTGGCTCGCTCTGGAGCGGCTCGGCTCGGCTCGCTCAGCCAACGAGCCGACTTCAGGCGGCTCGACTCGCTTCAGCTATGGCTCGGCTCATACCGAGCCGGCTCGAAAGCCATTTGCCCCCAGAAGTACAGAACCTCTGTATATAGTCCAGTCTTGATTTTTTTTGCAGCAATTAAACCCATATTTTGAAAAGCAAACTGTTTATATTGCTAAAAGTGGAACATTCAGCAGTCTATTATTTTAAGAAAAGTTCATAGTAATGAAAAATAAGCTTTCGTCTATGAATTCTTCTACCAAAATTGTAATAATGGAATAGATATGAGAGAAAGAATTCACCAGCATTTCTATTTTTGGACAACACTTGCTTTGAACTTTACACAGCAAAGCATCAAATATTGACAGCCACACGAAGAAATTTTGCATAGCACAAAACTTACCACTTTGACATAAAAACCGAGAAAATGTTGACAGCGAAACAATGACTAGCGAAAACTACATAATACCAAGTTCATAGTTCATCACTAGTTCACAACAACATCGTTAAAAGTGCATGGTTCAACGCAACATCATTCAAGGACCGTAGTTCATCACAACAAACACATAATCCAAACTTCATCACAACAAACACATAATTCGAAGTTCATGACAACAAAAGAAATGGCTCGAGACGATCACGTTGCCCTCAACAATCCACATGACAAGATCATGTAGACATCCACCTTCAAAGTAGCAAGAGCAACACCAACATGACGATTATCTACATGTAACACAGATTTGGAAACATATTGGGATCATGTAAAGATATGAAAACTAAAACATGTCAAAAGAATAGTTACCAATTGTTGTTATCCCCCACATCAACAATCTTGGGCAACTTGATATTCTCAACATCGTCCTCCTCATCTTCATCTCTCTCCTAATTATTTGGAAGTTAGCCACATACAAGAAATAGACAGAAACCATAGAAGAAAAGATAGGAGTCATACCATCACATGAAGTCCTTGTGAGAACCTTTGATATAACTAGCACCACACACCAAGGCTTCCACCATTTCTGGTTTTAGAGAACTCTTGTAGTCATCTAAAACCACACAAGTAGACATATCTAAGTTCAAGGATAGGATGACAAGTTAACATCCAATGTAACAAGTAGACATACCTAAAACTCTTCCACCCGTGCTAAAAGTTGATTCCGAAGACACGGAGGTAGCCGGGACAGTCAAGAACCTCTTTGCCATCATTGCCAATACGGGGTATCTAGGTGCATTTACCCTCCACCAATCAAGAAGATTGAACATAGGATCCATTGCCTCATTCAAGTCATCTAGATAGTTTCTAAGCTCACTTTTTGATGGTGTTGATGAAGTTGCTGATAAGAAGGACCGAAACTCACAATCCATAAGTGGCATCGAGGTACTTGTGTTGCAATTGTTCTTGGCTGATGATCCACTAGCTCTTTCTTCAGCTTTCTTATTTTTCGCAACAAACTTCTCATACAATGTGTCCAACTCTCCGCGCACAATATTCTTCTCAGTATTTGCTTTCCCCACATCATACATTTGGTGATAGCACCACTCAACATACCTCATCTTGTACCTTGGGTCCAAGATGGTAGCAAGCACCATGACATTGTTCGGCTCATCCCAATACTTGTCAAATTTATCCATCATTGCATCACCCATTTTCTTGTAGCATTCATCATCATGAGCCATGGCTTTTCTCAAAGTAATCTTGATGCTGACAATGTGAGGGTAGAATATGTTGGAGGTGGGATATAATTGCCTTGAAAACGCAGTTGTCACACGAGATAAAGAGAGGAGCAATGGCTTAATAACTTCAAACTTGTCCCATTCTTCTTTTTCCGGCTCCCATTGATAGTTGGCATTTGAAGCTGCATAAGAGGACAAGGCTTCCCTATACGGGCAAGCTGTATCAAGCATCTGGTACGTTGAACTCCACCGCGTGACACAATCAAGATGCAAATGGTTGCCAACCTCAACACCCAATATTTTGCAAGTCTCAACAAACTTGTGGAGGCGACTCGGTGACTTCTTGAAATACTTAACCGTCTCTCTCAAATTCTCTATCAAAGGGGCCATGATGGTTGTCCCATCTTGCACCACCAAGTTGATAATGTGTGCACAACAACGGACATGGAAATATTTGGCTTCAAAGTCCGTACCTAAAAAAAACAGCAAGCATTGTTGGGGAACGTTGCAGAAAACAAAAATTTTCCGACGGTTTCACCAAGATCCATCTATGAGTTCATCTAGCAACGAGTGATCGGATGCATCTACATACCTTTGTAGATCGCGAGCGGAAGCGTTCAAAGAACGGGGATGAGGTAGTCGAACACGACGTGATCCAAATCACCGGAGATCCTAGCACCGAACGGACGGCACCTCCGCGTTCAACACACGTACGGTCAGCGTAACATCTCCTTCTTCTTGATCCAGCAAGAGGGAAGGAGAGATTGAGGAAGATGGCTCCAGCAGCAGCACGACGGCGTGGTGGTGATGGAGCTGCAGTACTCCGTCAGGGCTTCGCCAAGCGCTATGGAGGAGGAGGAGGTGTTGGAGAGGGAGAAGGAGGCAACCAAAGGCATGGATGAAAAAGCCCTCCTTCCCCCACTATATATAGGAGGGCCTAGGGGGGGGGGGCGCCGGCCCTAGGAGATCCAATCTCCTAGGGGGGCGGCGGCCAAGGGAGGTTTCCCTCCCCCCCAAGGCACCTAGGGGTGCCTTCCACTTGTGGGACTCTTCCCCTTTGGAAACCCTAGGCGCATGGGCCCCTTGGGGCCGGTGCCCTTGGCCCATGTAGGCCAAGGCGCACCCCCTCACAGCCCATGTGGCCCCCGGGGCAGGTGGACCCACCCGGTGGACCCCCGGGACCCTTCCGGTGGTCCCGGTACAATACCGGTGACCCCGAAACTTGTCCCGATGGCCGAAACAGCACTTCCTATATATAATTCTTTACCTCCGGACCATTCCGGAACTCCTCGTGACGTCCGGGATCTCATCCGGGACTCCGAACAACATTTGGGTTACTGCATATACATATCCCTACAACCCTAGTGTCACCGAACCTTAAGTGTGTAGACCCTACGGGTTCGGGAGATATGTAGACATGACCGAGACGACTCTCCGGTCAATAATCAACAGCGGGATCTGGATACCCATGTTGGCTCCCACATACTCCACGATGATCTCATCGGATGAACCACGATGTCGAGGATTCAAGCAACCCCGTATACAGTTCCCTTTGTCAATCGGTATGTTACTTGCCCGAGATCCGATCGTCGGTATCCCAATACCTCGTTCAATCTCGTTACCGGCAAGTCACTTTACTCGTACCGTAATGCATGATCCCGTGACCAGACACTTGGTCACTTTGAGCTCATTATGATGATGCATTACCGAGTGGGCCCAGTGATACCTCTCCGTTATACGGAGTGACAAATCCCAGTCTTGATCCGTGTTAACCCAACAGACACTTTCGGAGATACCCGTAGTCTACCTTTATAGTCACCCAGTTACGTTGTGACGTTTGGTATACCCAAAGCACTCCTACGGTATCCGGGAGTTGCACGATCTCATGGTCTAAGGAAAAGATACTTGACATTGGAAAACTCTAGCAAACGAACTATACGATCTTTAAGCTATGTTTAGGATTGGGTCTTGTCCATCACATCATTCTCCTAATGATGTGATCTCGTTATCAATGACATCCAATGTCCATAGTCAGGAAACCATGACTATCTGTTGATTAACAAACTAGTCAACTAGAGGCTTACTAGGGACATGTTGGTGTCTGTTATTCACACATGTATTACGATTTCCGGATAACACAATTATAGCATGAATAAAGACAATTATCATGAACAAGGAAATATAATAATAATGCTTTTATTATTGCCTCTAGGGCATATTTCCAACAGTCTCCCACTTGCACTAGTCAATAATCTAGTTACATTGTGATGAATCGAACACCCATGGAATTCTGGTGTTGATCATGTTTTGCCCTAGGGAGAGGTTTAGTCAACGGATCTGCTACATTCAGGTCCGTATGCACTTTACAAATATCTATGTCTCCATCTTGAACATTTTCACGAATGGAGTTGAAGCGACGCTTGATGTGCCTTGTCTTCTTGTGAAACCTGGGCTCCTTGGCAAGTGCAATAGCTCCAGTGTTGTCACAGAAGAGTTTGATTGGCCCCGACGCATTGGGTATGACTCCTAGGTCGGTGATGAACTCCTTCACCCATATTGCTTCATGTGCTGCCTCCGAGGCTGCCATGTACTCCGCTTCACATGTAGATCCCGCCACGACGCTCTGCTTGCAACTGCACCAGCTTACTGCCCCACCATTCAAAATATACACGTATCCGGTCTGTGACTTAGAGTCATCCAGATCTGTGTCGAAGCTAGCGTCGACGTAACCCTTTATGACGAGCTCTTCGTCACCTCCATAAATGAGAAACATTTCCTTAGTTCTTTTCAGGTACTTCAGGATATTCTTGACCGCTCTCCAGTGTTCCTTGACGGGATTACTTTGGTACCTTCCTACCAAACTTACGGCAAGGTTTACATCAGGTCTGGTACACAGCATGGCATACATAATAGAACTTATGGCTGAGGCATAGGGGATGACACTCATCTCTTTTATATCTTCTGCCGTGGTCGGACATTGAGCTGAGCTCAATTTCATACCTTGTAACACAGGCAAGAACCCCTTCTTAGATTGATCCATATTGAACTTCTTCAATATCTTATCAAGGTATGTGCTTTGTGAAAGACCTATGAGGCGTCTTGATCTATCTCTATAGATCTTGATGCCTAATATATAAGCAGCTTCACCAAGGTCCTTCATAGAAAAACTCTTATTCAAGTAGGCCTTGATGCTGTCCAAGAGTTCTATATCATTTCCCATCAAAAGTATGTCATCTACATAT